CCTAGGCTTGACGAAAAAGACTGGGGGCCTAGGCACACGCTGGGGCAGGGGCAGCGGCAGCGATGCCAACAGTGGGAAAAATCGGCAGCGCGGATTTGTGCAGCTGGAGGCCCGTCGGGGAAAATCGGCAGCGCGGATTTTTTGACTGAACATGGGCTGGACGCTGGGCTGTCCAGGCCAGGCAGGAAAAATCGTCAAGGAATTGCGCTGGCGAAAGCAGGGGCTGTTCAGGCACAGCGGGCAGTGTTGGAATCGGCAGCGCCGACGAAATCGGCAGAATCGGCAGCAGGTGCTGACGATGAGTCTGGACTGTTTATAGTCCTAGGCTTGACGAAAAAGACTGGGGGCCTAGGCACACGCTGGGGCAGGGGCAGCGGCAGCGATGCCAACAGTGGGAAAAATCAGGCAGCGCGGATTTGTGCAGCTGGAGGCCCGTCGGTGAAAATCGGCAGCGCGGATTTTTTGACGAACATGGGCTGGACGCTGGGCTGTCCAGGCCAGGCAGGAAAAATCGTCAAGGAATTGCGCTGGCGAAGCAGGGGCTGTTCAGGCACAGCGGGCAGTGTTGGAATCGGCAGCGCCGACGAAATCGGCAGAATCGGCAGCAGGTGCTGACGATGAGTCTGGACTGTTTATAGTCCTAGGCTTGACGAAAAAGACTGGGGGCCTAGGCACACGCTGGGGCAGGGGCAGCGGCAGCGATGCCAACAGTGGGAAAAATCGGCAGCGCGGATTTGTGCAGCTGGAGGCCCGTCGGTGAAAATCGGCAGCGCGGATTTTTTGACGAACATGGGCTGGACGCTGGGCTGTCCAGGCCAGGCAGGAAAAATCGTCAAGGAATTGCGCTGGCGAAGCAGGGGCTGTTCAGGCACAGCGGGCAGTGTTGGAATCGGCAGCACCGACGAAATCAGCAGAATCGGCAGAATCGGCAGCAGGTGCTGACGATGAGGCTGGACTGTTTATAGTCCTAGGCTTGACGAAAAAGACTGGGGGCCTAGGCACACGTTGGGGCAGGGGCAGCGGCAGCGATGCCAACAGTGGGAAAAATCGGCAGCGCGGATTTGTGCAGCTGGAGGCCCGTCGGGGAAAATCGGCAGCGCGGATTTTTTGACGAACATGGGCTGGACGCTGGGCTGTCCAGGCCAGGCAGGAAAAATCATCAAGGAATTGCGCTGACGAAGCAGGGGCTGTTCAGGCACAGCTGGCAGTGTTGGAATCGGCAGCGCCGACGAAATCGGCAGAATCGGCAGCAGGTGCTGACGATGAGGCTGGACTGTTTATAGTCCTAGGCTTGACGAAAAAGACTGGGGGCCTAGGCACACGCTGGGGCAGGGGCAGCGGCAGCGATGCCACCAGTGGGAAAAATCGGCAGCGCGGATTTGTGCAGCTGGAGGCCCGTCGGGGAAATTCGGCAGCGCAGATTTTTTGACGAACATGCGCTGGATGCTGGGCTGGCCAGGCCAGGCAGGAAAATTCGTCGAGGGGATGCGCTGACGAAACAGGGGCTGTTCAGACACAGGAGGCAGTGCTGGAATCGGCAGCGCCGACGAAATCGGCAAAGTCGGCAGAATCGGCAACGTCGGCACAATCGGCAGCAGGTGCTGACGATGAGTCTGGATGGACGGACTGCATATGACCCGGCTGCCCGCAACGAGTCATTCAATTCTCTGCCCTATCAACATAACTCCCGATGTGTTGTTCGCTATCTCGGAAGAAGAGATCTCTTCCTCCCCGGGATGGCCGGGTGCGATTACCCGGCGGCGTCATTCAAATCGCTGCCCTATCGGCTACAACTGCTGATGGGGGGATTAGAGGCCTGCCATGGTGGTGAGGGGAGGCGAAGACCGTGAAAGCAAGAGTTTTCCCGGGGCTCCTCCGTTGGCCGCGGCATGCGAGCTGCCGGTTTTCCCGCATTCCGCCAAGAAAACGTCGTGCTTCCCACATGAAATCAATCCAGTAAAACCAGCCATATTTTTGTGAGGCTGCCAGCTGAATTTGGGGTCATTCCGGGCCGGTCACTATTTTTGCGTATTTCCTTGATTTTTAACGGTAGGAAAATAAACAAAAATACTTCCCGGCCACGAAAAAATCCGGGATTATTTCTGGAGGTGGATTGGATTATTGCCAACCTATGTGCAAAATTTCAGCTCAAAATACCAAGAAATGAATTTTTTAGAGGGGGGGTGACAGCTGGGACCTAGTAGTGTCTACCCCTGCCAGAGCTGCAATAACACTTATAGCTCTTTAGGGGGGTGCCCCCCGACTGGCCATGGGGCGCGCTGGCTGGCGCCCATAGGCCTGCCGCGGGGGATTTGCGAGCTGCCGCTATGCTCGGACTAACGTGGGGGGCCTCACGGCCCGAAGTAACGCCGCCATCGATGACCCGTTTTCCGCCCGGCGACGACCCGATTCTGGCCACCGTCCCTATAAAAATCACACACGCGCGCGCGCGCGCCCGCCCGCGCCCGCGCTTGGCGCTGGGGCGCTGGGGCCTGGGGGC